ACCGTGTTCTCAGGCTCTTCACTGAGAATCTGGTGCATCCAGCCACAAGGTGCTGAAAAACCTCCCTGTCACCCTCAGCTCTTCTCTTCACACTTGATTCTTTCTGTAGTCCAAGCAGCAATTACTCTCACTTTCTAAAAATATCAGTGTATCTCTAAGCACACTTAACACATACTTAAAAACAAATCCCAACTAATAATAAATAATATAACATATATGAACCACTTAAGCTGATTTTTAGAAACACACCTGTTCCAAGCCATAAACATCTATACACAACCATGGTCTATTTCAACACGTAGTTAAGACTACATAAAGACTTAGTAGGAGTATTAGTAAGTATTAGGAGTATTAGTAGGAATATTTTCAGAGTATATCTAGCATTAATATAAAAAATTACTGATATTTTAAAAGCTAAAGGTGAGACAAGATAAAATTTAGAAAGCAATGAGTGCTAGGTGATGTGAATAAAGAAGAGGCAGCACAAGTTTACCAAATTTTAAAGAAAAAAAGACAGAATCACCTCTCAACTTTTCGTTTTCCTAATAATTTTCCTAAATGCATATATTTCACATCTTTTAGCCACTGTATTTTTCCAGAAGGGAGAAATTCTGTTTGAGAAACCCCATAAAAAGGTACAGAAGCCATCCTGTGAATTTCAGTAGGGGACTGAAGCATTTGAACTCCTTTCAAAACGGGCTTATTAAGAAGTGAGCCTTTGTGCCTCTGGCACAGGGACAGCCTTGGAGTCTGTACTTGCTCACACACCTCCTCTATACAATTTAAAGTCACAGTTCTTATTTTCCAGTGCGAACAATAATGTCTGTCATTAAATACACACTATATAAGATGAACAATTGTGTTCATAATTCCCTTCATGTTCAGCTGCATTTTCTGAGAAACCCCAAAATCTGTCTCTAAAATCCTTTCAGTTTCTCCCTATCTCCAAAGAAGCACACAGTGCACAGACTGCTGAGAGGGAGGAGGTAATGTTAGAAGTTTTCCTGCAATTAGTGTACTTTAGGCAAAAGAGACATTAAAAAAAGTGCAGTTTATTGCATTATGAAGCAGTCTGACATGATTACCAAAATGGCCCATAAACACCACCCTGGTAAGTTACAGTAGAAAAATGTTAACTGAATTTGTCTAGCATAATTCTTGATCTCACATCTCACTTCTGCCTCTCCCATTCTTTATGGATAATCCTTTTATTAACAAATGACAACGGTACACACATAATGGCCCATAAACACCACCCTGGTAAGTTACAGTAGAAAAATGTTAACTGAATTTGTCTAGCATAATTCTTGATCTCACATCTCACTTCTGCCTCTCCCATTCTTTATGGATAATCCTTTTATTAACGGTACACACACGTTCAATCTAAAATGCACCTGGTCAGATTGCTGTTTTCCAAAACATTGGAAATTTTGTGCTAGCCCATTCCTTCACAGAAAAATGACTATAACACATCTTAAAGAGCCTTCAAAAATGTGAATCAGTAGGATGAAAATGTAATTTTTTACACAACACAAAAGGACACAGTCACACTATGGAATGTATCATTCCTTACATCCATGAAAGGAGGCTGGAGAAAGAATATTTGGGAGTAAGAACAAAACCTCATTGGATTGTATTTTCCAAGCTATAGGCTTAGATGGTGCATGCATTTTAAATTATATTGAAAGCTGCTCAGGTGTGGAATACTAGAAATAGTCCTGATCATGCTGAAGTTGATGATACCAGATAATTCCATTGATCATAAGACTTCAGAATTGATGACAATATGCAGTATTTAAAGCTATCATAAAAAACCTCCAACAAAATAAAGACAGGAAATCTACAGTAAAATGTGTCAATTTTGCCAAGTTCTCCAAAGTCAAGGAATGTAAATCTAAATTGTTGTCAAAAGCACATCTATTTCTCAAAAAAGCAGCTGAAGACTTTGTAGGATGAGGAAAACAATGCATTTTAAATCTACTCTTGAAAGTGTTCAGATGATTTCAAGCATTCAAGGGCTTTTGCTGAGCCACAGCCCTGCCAGACGCAAAAATCTGCACTGAGAGTTGCCAGACTCACAGAAAACAATTTCTGGTCAGCATTTAATGTAATCAACATGCAAAATCTGATTCAAAAATTTCCTGCCTTCAGCACCTTTAATTATTCTTCTTTCCTCTAGAAATGCAGCAAGTCAGGTGATTATTTATTGAAAGACCTGTGAAATGTTTTCTCATCAGACAATGTTAGGCTGTAGGCTCCTTTTTTGGATTTTATGTGGAGTCACAATCCTTTTTGCCTACTGATTCTGCTGATAATGTTTTTTATCCACTTTACTAAACATAAAAAGAACAATAAAACCATATTTGTTGTTGCAGTGGCATCTCACAATGATATAAATAACTCTCCTGTAAGTGAAGTCAGGTGACTGAGTCAAAGACAGCAGATAGAAACACATTCTCCTTTGCATTTTTAAACATTGTCTTCTGACAATCCCATCCCTTTTGTCCATGACAACTCTAGTCAAAACATCTATTTTATTAATAAATGTTGAGGTAAATTGAGTAATTAATGGTTCTTCCTGTCTGGTTATTGGAATGATTGATTTAGAAAATAAGTCTTGGTTGAACGACATAAGGTAATATGGCAGTACTTGAATTTAAATGTAATTGTTCCCCCACTAGTTTAAGTATTTCTTTTGCCTACGAATACAGAAATTACTGTTATTTTTTTGACACAGAAAAATTTTTCAGTCAGAAGAGTTAGAAATAAAAACGTACTGCCTTTCTTCTCCCTTTCATAAAATTTCCCTGCTGATTAAGAACTACCATTGTATCTTGTCTTTCTCTGTTCTATCCTCAAAAAGACTGAGAAAAATCTAGTAGATTATCAACACTGAGCTGTTTGAAAGAGCTAGAAATACTGCTCTATTATCACAGCAGGAATTTCCTAAGTGATGAGTTCATCATAGGATGCACAGACATTCTCCTGGAAGGTAGAATAAAGGCTGTACCTGAAACTCAAAGCCAGCAAATCCTAATCTTGAATTGGTGCCAGGTCATGTTTTGCCAGACAAAGATATTAAAAATGTAATGCCAGTACTAACGAGAGATTTGGCACACGAAACATGAGAAATGTTACAGATTGTGCTGACAGTGTGACACTATGTTTTCCTGGATGTAATCTGGGTATCATGAGAGTAAGCTTGGAGCACTAATGAGAAGAATGATATTGAACTGGAAGAGCTGCTAAATATGCAGTAGCCACAGGGTTCCTGGAGTGAACTGGAACTGAAATGAAAACTGCAATACTGAAAGTAACAGAGAGTAAACTAGGCAGAAATACAGAAGGAAGAGAATCTCAGCAGGCAAAACTTGTTTGTGGTACCACGCTTGCCAGGACATAAAGGGCTTTTCTAATCATACTCTGTTTATCCCTGAAGTACTGTTAAAGAGGAGCAGGATTCTTGAGCTTAAAGGGGAACATATCAGTTCAGGATATAAATGAGTTTCACAACTGACTGGGAAAAGCCATATATAAAAGTTGAACAGAAAACCCCTTTAAGTGCAAGAACTAAAATTCATATTGGAGATACAAAGTTCATTCCATGTCTTTGAGGTTCCTGTGTTTTGGGTTTTTTTTTGCTGTTGCCATTGTTGATTTTTGTTTTTTATTTTTATCAGCTACAGTTAGTAGTCCTTATACAAAATATATATAAAATATATATATTATAGTATATAAAATTATTTTATGAATTATTTTTCCTGACCATCTCTGTTGGATTTCTCTGCATTTGCACTACAGGTCTAGACAGGAGACATACACCCAAATAACTCTGACAGTCAACAAAATCTCTCAGTGTGCTAGATGTTCACTTATTGAGACACAAATCACAAATATAGATATGTATAGCCATTGAAAAAGTGTTACCATCACTAGAACTTTAAACAGAATGCTATCTAATTAATCTCTTCAGCCTCCAAATGTATGCCCTTGTTCCATAATTCTCAGTAGCTCCCAGTGTTGCCTCTGGCATCCTGGATTCTCTTAAACTGCTAATATCTTCAATTACCACTTATTTAATACACAAAATTCACCACTGAAGTTATACTTAATTTTCCACTTCTGTGAGAGGGTGAGATACGCAAGAAAGCAGCAGCCAGGCAGTTCTTTGTCTTTAGGAGTAGGATAATTGAGGGAATAACAAAGTAACCCTGAAGCTCCATATTGTGACTGCCCCAGTTGTCATTTATTTCCACTGCAATCCAGATTCACACTCTTCACAGGAATGCAGAGCAGGAAGTTTTAAGGTAGAGTAGACATATACCTCCCCTGTCCTCAGTACAACACAGTTTCCTACTATCAGTACTTGGAGATAATGCATAATTCAGTTTGTCTTGTATTAATGTATTGTACAAGGGAAAAAGAGCAAAGAAAATTTAACCCATGAAGAAAGAGGGCTACTCCATACAAAGTCCTCCTCTGCTCTTTCTGAGATAAGGAAACATAGTAAAGTAAGCAGACTTGCTTTTATTTTTTCCCTTTCTCTCTAATGTCAAGTACAAGGATACCAAAAATAAAGCAGCATGTTTTTCTGGATTCAGAACTATGTCAAGCAGAAATTACTTCTCACTTTTAGTAAAAGGGATCTTATTTTTGGATGCACTTGAAAAGTGTACTGCAAATGGAGATTATTACTATTATCTTTAAAGATTAAAACAATTATGTTTTGACTAAAACATGTAACTGTGATGTTCTGGCAAACAGCACTGAAAAAATTACTGAAAGTTACCATCCAGAGCAACTACTATTTTCCACTTCTCCCAGTTATATTTTAACCTGTTTAATTCAGCCTCTAAAACAAGCGCACAAAGGAATAAAGCCCAACCTCTGCTCCGTACAAGGATTAAACCCAGGAAATAATTTAATAAAACTCTACAAGAAAAATGACTTAAGTGTTGAGGACAATGCAGCACTAATGTGTTTCATAAGCACTGCCTTACCGGCTGGAAGAGGGTCAGTGCACATGTCACTTCTGTTTTGCTTCCATGCCAGCAGGCACTGCAGGCTGAGGGGATCGGCTGCTGCTGCTACGTGGCTGTTGAACGGCACCATCAGCTGATGAGCCTTGGCGATGCCACAGTAACTCTCTGTTTCAGCCACCAAGGGCAAATTGTTCAAAGCTTTCGCTGCCTCAGAGGCCTGACTGAAATATTCCAGAGCTTCGTTATAGCTCCCCTAGTAAAGAAGAGAGAAAACCAGAAAATAATGTTAAAAGCTACTTGTAGTCACCTGTATTTTATTTTGACATCAGAGCCTGCTCCTCTGCCACCTCAGAGATGTGGCAGCCCACGGAGTGACTCATGGCAGGGCATTAAGGAAATCACTCTCCCTTGCAGTTTCCTAACCTCTCAAATCCAGATAACACTGCTCATATATTTGAATTGAACAGGTTTTTGGTTATTTCTGTAGCATTTTGAGCAGACAAATCCAAGAATATCAATGCTAAGTATTAATACAGATTGCAGCCAGGCTGTTTAGAAATTACTGTTTCCCTGCATTCAACATATCTGTGTGAGAAAAGGTCCTAATTTATGGTAGTATTAAATCTTAAAAAATAAATCCTAAAAATGGAAAAAAAAAAAAGAGGATAATGAAGTGATAGACTTAAAGCACAGAAAATAACAGAAATTTAAACTTACTCATTTATGGGGGAAGAGAAGGGTATACAACCCCCAGGGATATTCCTAATCACAAAAGAGAAAAAGTAGGAAAAATATAGCTCAACTGTTGCTGAACTGAAAACTCAAATAACTTATCTCTCTATCCCACCATTGACATGGAATTCTGCTGCTCTGATGGCAGAAACTTCCTCCCTGAAAACATTTTCAGGCATTTTCATTTTGTTTTATACCTTCACTCTCACCTTGATTTAGTAAGATTGACATTCTCTTTTGTATGGAGACTGGGAGGTGAGTCTCCAATTGGTACCTGTTTCACTTGATACCACTTTTTGGGATGAAAACTCATATTACTGCTAAAATGTGCTTATGATTAAAAAAGGAAAAAAAGAGTAATAACAATTCTGGTAGTCTTTCAGCTTTGTTTAATACTGCAGAAGAGCAGAATTAGACCTATGAGGACATGGTAATGAATAAAGAATGATAAGCTGTAATATAATAAAAAGCAGAAACACCTACTTACCATACTCATGAGACCTATAGCAGGTTAAGTGATACAATTAGTGAGAGGAATGTAGCAAATCAGACTAAGAAACTCAGAAAAAGTGAAATGAGAAATGACAGAGTTATCATGCAAACTTCAGAGTGTATATATTAAGTAAGCAACCTGCTTATTGAACTGGGGGAAATGAGAACTACTACTCCTGCATAACACAAACCCAGGCATGTTAGGAAACAAGAAACATCTGGATGAAACAATTGTGACTAGAAAGCAAACTGTGTGTACAGCATTAAAGAAAGACAGTGCTGGTGAGGGAATAGTGAGATGAGAAAACTGGAAAGGTACAGCAACAGCATGGACAGAGCAAAGTGAATTTGGTCAAAGTGATTTGTGTTTGGAAGAAGAGGAAGAGTTATACCCCAGGTTTACTAAAGGTCCCCATGGATAGATCTGGATATAAATAGAAATATCTTTAATTTGATGGACTGTATTTCTACAAATTTTATCACTGGGGGATATACATCGTTGAATAAAAAGACCCTAATAATGACTTAGAGAATACTGGTGACACCAGCAGGCAGTGATCCAAAAGAGGAAATGTTAAGTCACACTCAGTTTTGCTAAACACTTCTGACTTTGCAGAAAAAAATATATAGAAAACAGGGAATTGCAAACCTCAAGATTTTTAAATTTATGTTTAAACTAAATATTTTGTATACATTAATATGATCAAGTTATTGCACTTGTGCTCTTCTACACCTCGGCTCAAGGCAGAAAATTCTGAACTGAGAAAGAGAATTTGAAGAATAATGAAATAGAGATTAGTTATTAAAATACCAGTTCTATTGAATTGATTATTAGCAATGGTGGAAGAAGGAATGAAATACAGAAGGTAGTTAAACAGAATTTATTTAATTATTTTTCAGATTTGGAGGAGAATAATTCAGCACAGTGTTATATGACCCTTCTTCTAAGTTACAGACCCATTTTATAGTTACTTCATCAAGTTGTCAAAGACCTTAAAACTTAGTTTTCAATGGGAAATTCAGCATTTATATTAAGAACACACGTAAACAGAACACTCTCAGGCCAATTTAGAGATTATAGAGTAAAAAAATTTCTACTGCTTATGAAATAAAAACAGGACAAAAAGGACATCAATTTCAGTAGTGAGAGCAACCCAGGAAACAAAAAAAGGGGTATTTAGGGATAGTGTAAGTGAAAAGGCGAAAGTACTCTGTTCAATATATTACACACAGAAATTATGACCAAAAAAATACACAACAGAAGATGGCAAGGGTATTTATTTTTTATTTTATTCGTAGTGGAAGTTTTTCCTAAGTTCCATATTATCCAGCATACAGAACAAATTATTTTTATTACTTATCTTATCTAAATAATTTTTTGTAGCAATTCAGATCTAAAAAAGGTACTAAAGCATGACTCTTCCACTTTTGCAGCAATGTCTTTAACCCTTTTGATTTCAAAACCCAAGTGTCACTGCAGTGCAAGCAGAGACAAGAGAAAGTCCTTCCACTGCTAACAGACCTTTGACAAACTACTTGCTGCTAGAATCCATGTCATAAATTTGGCTGAGAGAATGTAAAGAAGAAATGTAGCTAAGATTGTAAACATTCCATTAGTATGCAATGCAGCATACATTCATATATAGTGCAATAAAATTTCATTTGCATTAACCAATGACTCTTTATGGGCATATATGGCGCCAATGATGATCTGGATGCAGATTTTTCACAGCATGTAAATTTGTCTTGATCTGAATTTGGAGTTTTTTATTCATCTATTTTAGAACAAAACTCTGTGTTAAATTTGATGTGAAATTTTCACCTTTCTCAGAAAATTAAGGCACATTTCATTTAGTCACACAGTGACTTCTCCTGGGGTAACTCCTGCAAGATGCAACACCTGGATCAAATCCTCCTCTGTCATCTCATAGGCAAACCCAAATTTTACCAAGAAGTAAATCAAGTTGTTTGAGATCATTACTACAAACAGTACTTACTCTTTCATTGTGAACTTTTCCAAGTAGGACATTTGCATCCACCAGGCTTTGGCTTAGATTAGCGCTCTCAGCATCCTTCATAAACTCTCCCAAGTACTTCACAGCCTCATTTGATTTTCCCTGACTGAAGCAAAGGACAGGGACAAAATGAAATATTTACTCAGATGGCTTCTTCAAATGCTGAAGATCTTCCCCCTTGTTCTGAAGCAACTTTATTTTGTGGTGACTCATCCATGACTGGATTTTATTTCCAAATGGCCTCCAGCACTACCTGTGCTGAGCCCAGTGAGACTACCTCACACAGAATGTCTGAGGGCAAAACTGGATCCTTTCAGCAAAATAGAACAAAACTTTCTTTCAGAATATTGTGCCATATTTTAAGGCCATGAATCAAAACACAGGTGGATGTTTTAACAGGGCTTTTGAACCTTCCATTATTTTATTTTTTCTTTCTACTGAGCTGCAGATAATATTTTCAATTCAACTGGACCTCACATCCAAAATAGGGGAAGGAGGTATGAAGGGGTTTTTTTCAGTAAGGCTTTCTGTCATTCAGAGCTGCTCTAGAACCTGGTGGTGCAGCAGCAGCAGCTCCATAAAAGTGCTGTATCTCAGTTCTGGGGTGACAGCCTTTCCCTGAACACAATACTGCCCTTTGGCTGGGAGGATCAAAGGTGGTCAGGGTCACACAGGCAAACCTATAAACTGTGGATTGCGGGTGCCAGCCCCAAATCCCAGTGAGCTCAGAGCAACCTGAGGTCACAGCTGCATCTAACTTGAAAATTGGCTAACATACTTTGACAATAACATTTGCAGATTTCCTTTTTTTTTTTTTTTAATAAAGCCAGTCATATTAACAATATAAGACCTCAGCAGTGTGATTGCAAGATATAAGACAGACATCTGAGCTTCTTGTGAATAAGGCTGGGTGCCCTTTTTCCCTTTAAGGCTGGAGTGTTATTCCAGATGACCTCAATATTAGCCATGAACTTGAGTCACTAATGTAGGAGTGTAGCATGCTAAATGTCAAGGCACCAAGCAAGACAGAAAATCCAGTCTTAATTAAGAAATTCACAAAAAAAGGAGCTTCTGTAAGTGATAAAGAATTGTGATTTATTTTCTCACCATCTTAAACTACCTTCAGCTGCTATATTCCTGCAGGAAATGATGGCCTGGCATTTATTTACAATACAGTTTTTATTATAAACTATATTAGGGATATGTACTTTCAAAATCTGGCAGAACTCTGAATTTCCTTCTTTTATGCTGTTGGACTAATTACAACAGCCTGCCATGAAACAGGAAACACAGCAAAGCTTAGCTGCAAATTTTAAATATTGCAGTGATTTTCTGCATGTGACTAAGAGGGTAAGATTACTACAAAAGGATGCTAAATCACTGCAAACTAACATTCTTGAAATGCTCAAGTATATGCTACTGTAAAGCATAGAGGTCACTTAGCAGACTTGGATTTACTAAACTTTCCCAAGTTAAGTATTTTATTATCATGAGAATACAAAATACATTGGACTGTAAACATTTACCAAATGTCAAAAGGCATCTAAATTTCAGAATTAGAAACATATATTTTTTAACCTGTTTTTTTTTCCAAAGAAAAGAAAATCAAATGTTTCCCTACAGCAATACAGCATATGATTTATATAAGTTAAAGGACAAGGTTAAAGTGTTAGACAAATATTAATTCCAGTTTTTCTAGTTTTCTATATGCAGTGCACAGGTGCAACTTGAAGAGCATATTATATGGTATAATCATTAAATCCATTCAACCAGACCTTTGAGAGTTAAAAACATATATTCTGAGGAAAAGGACTCCTTGGTCCAAGGAATGAGAATGAAACAGTGCAGAATATTTGTGTATCAAGGTGATTCCAGTTTCCAATTGGGAAAACAGGACTGTTAACACCCACATCCCCTGACAACTGTCCAATTATGTATATCACACTTGGCCTACTGTTTGCAGTAGAAGTAATCAATAAAGGATGTGGTTGAGTGAACATAGATTTTGGTTGAACCAATGCATGAAAACTTAATCATTTACTCAGAGTGGAGAAATCAAATAGAGCAGAGATGAAACAGCCACTAAGGGGTTTGTTGATTGTACCACCAAGTTTATGGGCTAGAGGCTGAAAGTAATAAAGCAAATGGAATCAGTGACAGGAGAAAATGTAAAAAGGTTTTCTTAATTTCATGAATTAATAGAAATGTTTTGATGTATTTTTGGCCATTTTTTACTTTTCACATCAAAACTTCTGCTCCACATATAGAAGATATGAAAATTGCTAGGCCATATAACCTCTTTGAGGAAAACAGGAATCAATTTGATACATATCAGAAAGATATTTCTCACTGTTAGGACTTCACTTAGGCCAGCTAGAAATCAGTTGGTACAGTTTAACAATTTTTCAAAGGAAGTACTTTTAGAAGCACTACAGCTTGAGATATTTAAAGTATGCTAGAAAGATTACTGAAACACTTTATCCTGCACAAGACCTGATAACATGATAAACAGGTCTTTCCTACTCAAAGGGCTAATATTTTATAGTTCCTTCAAAAATCTACATGTTATTTTATACAGCCATATACTTTCTATCTCCTTAGACATCACCTTCCTAAATGCATAAAATGCAATTTCCTAAAGATATAGTCATTCATGATCCCACAGAACAGTTATGATGACTTCAGCAGAAGAGATTACATATCTACAGCAACTCATTTTCCAGTTTCATGCTAAAATGCCCTATGAGATTTTTACCCCTATTAGACTTTTATGAAAATATGCACCTTTTATAGGATTGCTCATGTGATGGAATTGGATGTATAAATCATGTGTCCACAAGAAGTCATTACCATGGTGGACACTGGCAGAATAAGTCAAGAACATGATGCTATTATGTCAGATTCTTTCCCATGGAAAATGACATGACTAAATGCACATGATAAAGATTTTCAGTTTCCCATAGTCTCTGGAAACATCTGCAGCAAAGAATTCACAAAATATTCCAAAGCCATAGAGAGGTTCTGAGCCATTCAGGAGGGCCCAGGCACTTTCTCCAATCTGTCATGAGGAAATAAGTGCAAATTCTCACAGACATTATGGTTGTAATGCATTAGTTTTGGGAGACGGTCATCTTCCTGTGAAGATGTTATCCATCAAATTTACAATTATTTACACAAATCTAGCCTAGATCAGGTAACAATACAAGTAAAGGAAAATTGAACAAGCTGAATATGGGGAATCTGTCACCAGCAGTGACAGATTATTGGTGCATTTATCCAAAGTGTTCTGTGTCCAGCTCTGGCATCCTCAGCACAGGAGGGATATGGATCTGTTGGAGTGGATGCAGAGGAGGCCACCAAGATGCTCAGAGGGCTGGAGCATCTCTCCTACGAAGACAGGCTGAGAGACCTGGGGTTGTACAGCCTCAGGAAGTCACCAGGGAGACCTTGCAGTATCTATTGTCAGCTTATAATAAAGACAGAGACAAATTGTTGAGCAAATGTTGGGCCTGCTGCAACAGGACAAGGGGCAAAGGCTCTGAACTGAAGGAGGGTTGATTTAGATTAGATGTATGGAAGAAATGTTTTACAATGAGAGTGGCAAAACACTGGAACAGGCTGCCCAGAGAGGGGGTTGGTGCCCCATCCCTGGAAATATTCAAGGCAGCCAGGATGGGGCTTTGAGCAACTTGATCTAGTTGACGATGTCCCTATTCACTATAGGGGGTGGACTAGCTGACCTGTAAAGATCCCTTCCAACTCAAACTATTTTATGATTCTATCATTCTACAATTCATAGGTGACCAGACTTTTCCACATGTAAGTTTCTCAAACAACTGAAAGTTGCTGAGAACCATTGTGACATTTTACAGGGTTGAACAGTTAATGCCCATCACATACCCAAAGCTCATCAGAGCAGGTATATATGTAAGGTGTTTAATTTGGTAAATGCTCTCATGGCATAACTACCAGATGGGTTTTATAAAAAGTAAAACAACAGCCATTTTCCAGAGAAAGGATTTATGGTTGGGTCTTCACCAAGAAGACTCAATCTATTCTCTAATCTATTCTTCAATAGATTCAATCCCTGATCCTACATATGAGATCGAACTACTCCTTCACCTAAATTAATTATATTAATTATATTAATTATATTCCTCTTCCAGGAGAATGCCTTAAATACTAAACTGAGGAATCTTACTGCTCTTAGTATCTGCTTCCATTGGTCCTCATCTCCTGTTTTTCTTTTTTTTCAAATTGCAACAACAGGATAGCAGTGGGACTGTCCATTCCTGGATAGCTAAAGAATGCCCCCAGAAGGTGTGGAATACAGATTTGATACAGAAGAAAATCACTAGCCACTCTGTGTTTAGGTCTGCTTTTAAGAAAAGAATTGCATTGGCATGATCTTTCAGATGAAGGGTTTGGTAAACTAAGTTAATAAAGATCTCAAAATCTGAAATGTCTGAGTGAATAAATGCATGTGCTCTCATTCCAGAATGCCTAAATCACAGAAAGGAAATTAACATACATGGTTTACCAGGGATGTTCTCTCGACTATCTTAACCCAGCCTCTACCCAGACTGCTGCTTTTTGAGAATACAAGGAGCTCATGAATGCTACTGAGAACTCAGAAAACTGTGTACTCATTGCAACAGCTGGTGATTTAGCTACTAAATCTTTCTTGTTTAGGCTTTAAGAGAATTTTAAAACTGGGACCTGGTATTCTTCGTCTGTTCTGTGTCTTTTTGAATATCTTTTCTCCTGTCCTTATTTAGGATGCTCAGAATACATGTAGATATGAATTATGCATCAGAGAGCTGAAGAAGACCGTGGTTGTGGCTGATCCCTACATGCTTGCATAAGGCCAAGAGACAAAGGATCTGACTCAAAGAGGAGAATTTGCTCTGCACACCGAAATAAACCGAGTGACAAGTCCCTCTCCATAAACAATTGCCAAACTCTACCATGCATCATATGCACTGAGGTCTTCAAACATAGGATAAGTCAAGAATAAGCTGCAACCTTCACTTTAATCTCTTTTTTCCCTATTTCATATGATAATTTAATTAGACGACTTTATGTCAAAATTATTTGTATCTGAACTATTCACCCAGAGGAAGATTTTAATGCCAGATGCTGAAATAAAAATACTGAAAACAAGCACTATATTTGTAACAAATTTGTACCTAGTTACACATGCACAAACCAGAAATGCCTCCACAGAAGAAGTGAGTGCAATAAATGGAAACTTACAGTTTAGAAAATATTACACTGAGACACCTACTGAAGCTTGCTACATTCTTCCAGATTTTCTTTCTTTCTTAACATGGAAAATAGGTCTCTATTTCTATTTTCCAGTAAGGTAAGGTCCTCCACAAACAAAAAAACCACCAAACCCAACACTTTAAAAGCCCTCAAAATGTGGAAGAATAAGGATGTTATAGTTTACAGGCAAAGAAAAACTAGAACCATACACTTTAAAAAATGTGTAATAGTTTAAAATAACTTTCGATGAAAGGGTCACTTACTGCTAGAAGGGCACTGCTTAAAATTTAAGCAGTCAGTAATGGAAAGCGACAGACCTCTAACAATTGAAGTCTTTCACAGCTGAGTGAATCTGCACTGACAGTCAGACAAGGATGTGCTAACCTACCTTGCCAGGATCTCGGCTACAGCTGCATATGCTCTGCCCAGGCCAGCAGAATCACAAAGGGTTGTGAAGATTTCTACAGAGGTGTTCAAAACCTGTGAAACAGGAAGATAAAAACAGTAAATACCCCAATAGGAATTTCCACTTTTTCTTCCCCTACTAATCTCTCTGCTCACAGAGAACACAAAATTAAAGCTTTCCCATTTCTAAAACTGTTCTCTAATTAGCCATGATGGGACTAAGGTTTTGATCATTATTTATAGTTGTTTGAAACTACTCAATAATTACAAATCAAAAGGATGTAACTTGCAATTAGTTCTCTGTATTTTGGCAATTTGCAGAAAATCAAAACCAGGTACTCCCTGATTTGCAGTATAAATTTCCTTATCCATAATTTAAAAGATTTTAAGAGCCTGTGCTTTTATGAGTTTCTGATAATCAATAACTTAAGATGGTGTCCTTTACATCCATACTGTTTTAGAACGATATGCTGAAATACAACTCAGTATTACTTTTCTTTCTTTAATCTGTCATAACTTAATCTTGGTACAATTCAGATGCCCCAAAACAGAATAAATTATATTATACTGAATAAATTAGGTTATACATTTAATCTATGTTGGCTTAAAGTACTGTAGATAATGCTGCTATTTTTCTGATTAATTATTCACACATGAGAAGTTTGTTAACATTAGCTTGGAATCTACTCTATTATTATGAACACTGCCATAACTGAAGTCTTACAGCTGCTGCATAAAATCATATGATCTTAATTTAATTTAACACTGACATCACCTGTATTGCAGAATTTCTCTTTTCATCCATTTTTTTTTCAATGGTGATGACAGGAGAGTGCATATAAAATTAAATCTTATTCTTTCATCCCTCCTCTTTGTTGCTTGACCCAATCTATTACACACATGAGAAAACAGGAAATCTCCAAAGACTCTCTATGGAAATCCTTTTTGCACATTTCCAAGAAAGGAGTAGTGAATGTCATTTACCAGTTCTGAAGGAGGATGGGAGATGCCCAGGGACAGATGACAGTATCCTGCATGCCCCAGGATGCCTATTTATACTGAGGTAAAAGATTGGGCATTTTCTACTCAGAGTGCACCCCTGTCACTGGCAAAGTGCATGGTTCAGGAGAAGACAACCTGTGTGTGCTAATGCTGTGGGTAACACCATTTCCATTGCTGCTTCCATCACTCAGATTTCCTTGTTCTTGAACGAGTTTTACTACATGCAGCAGCATCCCTGGACATGGCTCTTATTCTTTAGCTCCACAAGCTCTCTGTGCACCAAAAGTAGCATTTATTAATGTGCACTGCCCTATTTATCATCCCTCAAGTGCTTTCTTATCAGTAGTGTTCTAATGTTGCATCCTATCCTTGCAGGTCACTGCCAATTGAGTTATCAATGCATTAGGTGTGACAGAAAGAGTACAGAGGCACCTCAGTTAGGAAGTTGTCACATCAGCTCAGAAGCCTCCCTAAACTGAATACATATATGATGTTGTCAGTGCCTGCAGTACATCCTTCTAATAATCCAGGATGGTAGCAGAAACACACAGGTGTCTGAGAAATAATTCCTGGTATTGCATTTAACTCAGGGGACCTACAGCATTTGTTGTAATAATCGTGCCCATATTAGAAAACCTGCTATTAGAGTGTCAGGAGGTGTCACAAATGTTATGTGCTGGACTGAAATAGTTCCTACTTTAAACTGGCCTCTACAATATTAAACTTGGATACAGGGCCTGCAGTCATTACTATCTGACACAGAAAGGTTACTTAGAAACCTAAGGCTTTGGTTACTGCACTATTTTTCTATTAAAGACATCAAAAAGACTGAAAAGTACAGATAAACCCAAGGAAAAATCATACAAAGCATAGCTGAAGTAAAAAGTTGGTTCACTGCATTGCTGCAACAGCTGCAAGAAAGAAGGAAGTAAATAAATAAAGCCCCTCATTCATATTGATGAAAAGTGCTCATTTTGGTCCCAGGTTACTACTACTCTACACAAATCAGATATTTCATTCTAAATAACGAGGAAATAACATTAATTAAATCATCTCCATGAAAGGGAGGAAATCTTGATAAATTATCATAGAAAATGGACTCTTTATGTCTACATTTCAAATAACTCCTCCAGCTTCAGGTAAGACATGGGGACACAGAAAGGGACACAGGGGCTTGATGAAAAGGAGCTGTGGATCCCTGGATGCCACAACTGCCCAGTATCCATTTATATGAAACAAGTGAAGAGGGCTCTTCTCTTCTGTGATGTATGTCCAATCTTCTACACTCAGGATAGAAACATTTCAGGATAGAAAAAAAGAGGAACAGATAGAACAGATTAAAATGATGGTTAAACATATAAGCATTACAGGATTTCACCAAGAGTCTCTTGAAATTACAGCACATTTTAAATTTTCATTTAAAACAAGAAAATTATAAAGTTTACATGCTGGAAAATCAAGTGGGATCAACACAGTGATGCCTGACAGAATCTGTAAAAATCCTAAAGCTAACAAATAAGCATGAAAACTTTCCTGATTATTTTTATGGGATAGGAACAACCTATCCATCTAACTGGCTTCCTATGGATACCATATAGGAAAAGACATGCATGTGGCAGACAGTATTGAGTGGGCAGGGCTCTGCCAGTCATCTATCAGTTCTCTGGGAAGTGGATAAATACTGAGAACACTGATTACCATTTGGACCTAATGGAATTTATAGGTTCCCAATGAAAAGTTTGCCTTTAGACAGAAGCATAGCCAGAAAATAGTATTTATGTGTATATATACACACATATTGGCCATTCTGCGCAGGGGAAAACGACATCCAAGGAAGAGGTGGAGTAATTAATAATTAATGCTGAAAACTCCTACACAAATGTGAAGTTCTACTGGATGGGAAAAATTCAGACAACAAAAGAAAAATCATTTTATTAAGGTAAGATGCTTCTGCTGCAGTATTCTATAGAAAATATTGCATTTGAAAACAATCTTGGTAATTTCCTTTGTAATTATCCATTAATAAAATATGTAATAATGTGTAAATAGATATTGAATGGAACAATGTAAGAATCTATACTGGTAATGTATAATAAAAACTACTCTGGGTATTACACATATTTAGCCAAATTTCCTTCTCAAAAGTTAGACAAAGTCTCCAGAGATTTAGAGTTACTGAAGGGGTAAAATGTGTGTTTTTTCCTTTATATTTTGTTTTGTTTGTTTGTTTTTTTAGAATTAGCCATGTACAAAGAATTCTGAGGAAGGAAGCTGTTACAATAGATTTATCTTGATCATGCTAGATTCCATTATAAAATTGTAAAATTTCCATATTATTTCAAAGACAGTTTGATACTCCTAGCAACTAGTGGGAAAAGATTGTTGTATATGAGGTTGAACAGCTTAGAATAATGTACAGTTCTTTCTACCTCTATATAAAAATGTAACCTAAGCTTAACAACATAACAATTACAAAAAACACACTGAGTCTGGTCACAGATTATTTTTTGGATCAAGCACATTGACTATCTCAAAATTTTTACTTCTGTGGGTCTGTGGAAACACTAGCTTAAAAAACCCAAATAACATGAAAGTCAAAGTCTCATACCGAAATGAACAGTGGGTTTCAATCACTTTTCCTCCTTTGTGCAGGATGTGGGAAGGTAGAAGTGGAAGGTGGACTTGAACTTTGTCTTCCACATAACAGATAGCTCCTGTGGGAGCACCCATTCACAAAATCAACTCTCTTTCAGTGTCTTTGTAAGTCTGTTGTGTCTACAATTACAGTGTAAAAATAAAGTCTTAAGCTCTGCTTAAATCCACAAAGTAGAGCCTGTTTGTGGTATGGCTCTCACACTAATTCTGTAGCTAGTGGTGAATTTCATATTAACCTGCTTTTCCAAGAAAAATGTTAGTGAGCTCTCAGACTCAGATTTACTTCTCAGTTATCTCAGCATTATGCCAGGCTGACCCTCCAGGGCTTATTCCATTAATATAAAACAGATACAGGAGCTCCTCCCCCAGGAACCCCTTTCCATCGAAAATCCCACCCTTTATTTTTAATTGTTGTCACATCTGTAATTCTTTTATATGAAACAAAAACATGCACACACACCCCATTAGCATACACAAGACTCAGACAAAAGCACAGAGGCTCTGTTGAACACTGATACATCTGGGGATAATGGTCAAAAGAGAAAATATTGAAAATATGAATTTATGTTGAATAAAGAACATCTATCTAATTCAATATAAGATTAATGCTACTACCAGCATTTCACTGTTTTGGCAAAATACATTTCTCTGACAAGCACATCATGAGATAACATTGATTTATAATACTGTAACTTTAAAAAACACAAAAACATAGTTCTGTTTTCAGCTTTAGATTTGATATTGTTTCCAAACTTTATTGGAAATACATTTATTTTGATTTCTTCAAATCTAGCTGTGTTTAGCCATTTCACAGCTGGTGAGCAGGAAAGATGCTTCTGCCTCATTTACAGATCTTGAACATGAATCAGACAATCAACTGGACCATTAGTCAAAGAGATCAGTAGCTAATGATTCCTGACAGGCACTGCAGTGGCAGGCCAAGGCCCAGCCTGGCTAGCAGCATCTGACAGTATTTTTCTGAAGCCAACAATAGGTGTTGGTAGACAGACAATGAAGTCAAGTGAGAGCACAGGACTCATACCACTTCCTACCTCTTAAATACTTTTAGAAAAAAACACATAGTTCTGATGGTTACTAAATAATCACTTTGATATAGCCCAGTGAAAATAAGAGACAACAGAATTGTATGCATAGGCACTCTCCAGTTCAATGAACTCTGACCAGTAGCTGCCCCAGAACTACATATTTAAAAATGACAAAAAAGTGCAGTCTTTACTACCATAATTTGAGTGGTTACACACCTGTGGCCGTGTTGAGTAAGATCAAAGAAAAGTTTCACAATACAAACCCAGATGTATTCTTATTTTTTGCCAAAACACAGCATGGGAGAGGTTGGGCAGCAAAAGAAAAGGGTATTGTTCATGAAATGTATTGATCACAATGTGCAGAGCTCATTG